AAGACAACATAAATATGTACAAAATTTATTACAGTTTTCAAATTGTGTACAGAAAAAGAATATTATTATGTGTTGTGATGTGCATAGGCCTTCGCTCATCATAAAATTCCAACTCCAGCTCATTAACATGGGATTGTCTCCTTGACTTGAATGCATTCACTCTATCTATAAGTTTCCACCCAAACATTTTGTTGGTTTTTGAATAGCAATATAATGTTAAGAATTGCATATATAGTTCATAGTATTTAAAACCTGTAGGACCCATTCAATTTCCCTGCCCAAGCAACGGTGATTTGCCCCTGCCCCCTGGGGATGTGGGCCCCGATCTTTCTGTTTGAATGGATGGGCATATTGTTGAGTGACCAAAGCCAATAGCATAAATTTTTTTATTTTTTATTTTTTATTTTTCAAATGGAAGAAATCGAATGTCTTAGCCAAAGGTCTTGTGACGAGTGGCATAAATGTGGCATTTTAAATAAGAGGTTTCAGATTTGAATTTTAATGTAAGAGTATTGATTTTTTGTACAAAAAATATGTATGAAAAGATATTACGTTGTAATAGAGTCAATCAAAATGATGATACGATAATTATGTTGCATTTATTCATTTCGAGGTGGAATAACATGATCTTGATTGATTGGACAAGATTTCAATATATCTTTTTGACCTTGATTGCCAAATCATGTTTTCAAACGATGTTTTAGGGACAATAATGGTAATTGATGGATGTGGCTTTGATTAAGGAATCTCATCCTAAATTTGCTCTTGCGTCAGAATGTTTTTCTTGCCCCCATTGAAAGAATCTAGGTGGAATTGTATTGTAAGATTGTCTATAAACCAATATATATATATATATATATATATATATATATATATATATATATATATTCCTCTTTTAAAATTATCTTCTCATGTTATATATTTCAATTTTTTTAATATTATTTATTAATCAAACACACACACACACAAAAAAACAGAAAAAGAATAATGTCGTATAAGAATATGACCATTATAAGATAAAGGGAAAAATGAATTTCTCCCCTAAGTTATATACTTATAGCACTTTTCCCCCCTGAATTATTTAAGTAGTTATTTTTTTCCTGAAATGTTAAATGGACATATTTACTCTTAAAATAATTATTTCATTTATTTTTATTTTCCAACAAATTATGACCACAATTTGGTTCAAACCAAACAGACACTATAGCAACAAACTGAAATATTCTAATTACAATTTAGGTCGAAACCTGATATTTAGAGTTTATTAAAATCGCGAACTGGGACTGCCGGTTCATGTTCCGAACTGAAAAAAATAAAATATATTTATTGTTGAATTTAGACTATTTTAAAATAAAAAATAAAATTTTAAAATAAATATGATTCAAAATCGCGAACCGGATTCGGAACCGCCGGTTCACGGTTCAGGATCCAGTTTTTTCGATTCATAATTTTAATAAATTGAAATCCAAATATTGGGTTCTGGATCTAAATCATAATCGGAAACTTTTAATTCGATTGCTATAGTGTCCGGTTCAATTCGAATCGAACCGTGATCATTCCTACGTATCCGCAATAATTTGTTGGAGAAGAAAAATAAATAAAATGTTTATTTTAAGGGTAGAAATGTCAATTTAATATATCAGGGGAGAAATCGTCACTTTTAAAATAATTGAGGGGACTAATGTGCTTACATGAATAATTCAGAGGGGAAAAAATGCTATAAGTATATAACTCAGGGGGAATAAGTGTCATTTTCTCTAAGATAAATTTAAGTAAAAGTTGTAACATAATTCAAACAAAAAATGTACTCACACTATTTGTTTGAATGAGAATTTTATTTCCTTTCCAATTTTTAATCAAATGATACTATAATTAAGTCAACTCTTCTTCTCAAGCACTATTCCACAAAGAATCAATGAAGATAAAATAATTGTGATACTTATTACGCTCCGTATTTTATGAAACATCATAACATATTATCATTGAACAAAATATTTGATATAAAATTTTTATCGAAAGAAGTAACCGAGTGGCTTGAGTAAAACATGATTTTCGTAATTAAAGATTATAAATTCGATTATTGTTAATACTTTACCCTTTATTAGGTTGAGAAAGTATGTTTGAACATATGGCATATGTGGTTGCCAATCACCTTGGGCTCAGATGACATATAGTGATCTCTCTTATATGGGAGGTCATGAGATCGAGCCTTAGTGGATGTGTTGTTGATTCTTTGTGCTGAAAGTATGTTTGACCAGATACTACAATGTAATAGAGTCAGTAGCATTTAAAAAAAAAAAAAAAAGTGGTTTATGAGATTTATCAAGAATAATATAAAAATGGTAGGATGACATGACATATTGACATCAACCTTATATAGTGACGGAATCTTTCTTTAAAATAGAATCTTTTTCCATGTACAACACTACTTTGCATCAATTTTTTTCTTATTTCATATTTTGTACTCGTATATTATGTAATGATTTTTTAAAATTAATTCACAAAAAATTAATAATAATTACAAATTGTACAGTAATACTTATATCCCAATAAAGTTATGTTAAACAAAAAATTTAAATTTTCATCTTTCATTTTATTACTTGAAGTAATTAAATGAATATTTTTAACTCAACAACTTGAGACAATTGGTAAAAAATTACTAATACAACTCTAAGATCAAAGTATTGGATTGGGAAAATGGCACTTTTTCCACCTGTGTTATATGCTTATAGCACATTTTCCCCCTCAGTTATTCATGCATTCACATTTGCCCCCTCAATTATTATAGAAGTGGTGGTTTTTCCCCCTGATAATATTAAATGGACATTTCTACCCTTAAAACAAATATTTTATTTATTTCTCTTCTTCAACAAATTATTGCTTATACGTCGTGATGACCACGGTTCGGTTCGAACTGAATCAAACACTATAGCAATCAAATTAAAAAAATTCGGTTATGATTCATAACATAACCCAATATTTGGGTTTTCGTTTATTAAAATCGTGAACTGGAAAAAAATGGATCTTGAACCGTGAACCGGAGGTTCAAATCGGAACAACTACTAGCAATAGCTTAAATTAGAATTATAATATTTGCAAATAGTGTATGTTTTTTTCCGCATTTATATTGACTCTCACATGTAAGTATATATAATCGCGGTTTGAGTTTTATTTTGAACCGTCGGTTCACGATTTTGGATCCATTTGAACGGTTGGTTCAAACTTTCTTTTAAAATTTTATTTTTTTATTTTTAAAATATTCTAAATTCAACACTTAATGTATTTTATTTTTTCAAATCGTGGTTATAATTTGTTGGAGAAGAAAAATAAGTGAAATATTTATTTTAAGGGTAAATATGTCCATTTAATATATCAGGGGAAAAAACTGCCACTTAAATAATTTAGGGGGAAAAAGTGCTATAAGTATATAACAAAGGGGGAAAAAGTGTCATTTTCCCTATTGAATTTTATAATTGTGCACCATATTAAAGAGCTTTTAACCAACCCTTTAAACCCTATTGCCGTAACCCATCAAACAAAAAAGTAATGGGAAAAAAAAATTAAATAATTACTTAAACTTTATACAAAAATAAAATTAGATTTTAAAAAGTTACAATTAAACACATCAGCATATCATTTTTGTTAATTTGGATCCAATATGCAAGTATCCATCAGTAATATCTAGTAACTAGGGTTTCCAATACTAAAGTGGTGACTAGTAATCATTGGTCACCTCGTCACTATAGAAGGTGATTGATAACCATTCAACAATCGACGGTTTGATTGCTGAAATCTCAATTATCAAGTATTCTATTACCGTTGGTTAAGTGACTATTAGACCAATATATATACATAAAAAATAACAAGTATATATGTTCAATTGTAACTTTTAAAAATTTAAGGATCTAATCGCATTATATATAAAGTTCAAAATTTATTTGATAATCTTTTCAAAATTAAATTTAGACTATAGGTATAACTATTGGACTAAACATATAAATTCCCCTAATAAAATTGTCTGGTAGTGATGATCAGCTAATGCCATTCTGTCCATAAAGAAAGTCCATCATAGTTGAACAACCTTGAACCGTACTAGACAACGGTATTTTGAATCAAACGGACATCTTTAGGCCTGGTCCCCACAATTTTCAAAAAAAACCACCATCCTTTCTAAACTCAATAATTCCAAGACAAATACCCACATTAATAAATGTCCTCCATGTTCCATTAATGAATAAAAACAAAATTGCATAACTGATTGACTGAGACATGATTCTTGTACTAGAAGATTATCACGAGTTTTATTCGGTCAAATTTTTCACACATAATTTTTTTTTTATTTTTACAATTTAACTATTCTGTATGGTTTGTAAACTATTACACATGAGTGTAATTTATCCTCTACACTTTTTTTTATTCTATTTTTTAAAAGAAAATTAGAAAAGAAAAACATATAATATACGGAGTATTTATTTGTACATTTAAAAACATAAAACACACGATTGAGAATTATAGTAAATACAATCTTGAAGTTTTAACCAATGCACCATAATATATTAAAATCAACTTATAGGTATAGTCGTTCTACAATAGGTGACCGAATTTCATTATTGCTAATACTTTTTCATTTGAGTTTGTTACAAAATTTATATGCAATTAAACTACTTTTTCATAAAATACTTATTTAAATACAATATTTATTATTGAACTACTTTATTCATTATCTTTATGACATATCAAAATTTTAAACCCCTTTGAAAATTTTTAAAAAATCTTAAAATATAGTTTTCAAATTTTAGATATGTGTTCTGCAGTTTTGGGACTTGCACAATTTTTTTAAAATAAAATTTTAATTCTTTTTGTTTGTTTCTTTTTTATTTTGTAGTTAAAGAATTTGTATTGTTATGAATGTAATAATTCATAGTTATCACCTATTATATTATCACATACATTATACAGTATACATAGATAGACATTTTATACGGAGTATGCATCTCTCTTATTACTCTCTCTTCTCCCTTTCAAGTTTCAACTCTCCTCCAAACTGCCCAGAATCTCACTCTGAAAACTACATTTCAGATTCTGCATCTCTCACTCACTGATTCACTCCTTTCCCTTTCACTCTCACAAAAGAAAAGTAAGAAACACGCATTTTATGAAGGCACAGAGGCAACATGGGTTTGTGTGTTTTGGCGTCTTGTTATGTTACTCCATCGTTTTCTTGCAAGAAGCTCCCGTGAGGTTCATGTGAAAGTGTGTGGGGGGTGGAGAGGGAGATCTGGGAAAGTGAAAGAAACTAAACAGTGTTAATGATATCAACGTGTCGCTTGCAGCATAGCTAGTAGGAGGGGTTGCCTCTCTTGATTCAGGTGAATGCGGTGCTTTTCTGACCTCACTTTATTGTTATTTTTTTAGAATTTAATTCTCCTCTGATCTATACAGAGACCCTTTAGGCCTTTAAGCCCTTAATTTGTGTTATTCTTGCTTTTTGTTGGCATGCAATGTTTGTGAGTTGAGATAAGTGAATTTTGCCTTTTTTGGTGTTTTCAACAGTAAAGATTGAATTTTTATGCTGGAACTCAAGATGGGTTGCTGTTCTTGATTTCTGGGTATGGGGTGCATCAATAGTTGGTTCTTTGAGTTTTTGGTTTCATGACTAGCAGTTAGTATAGTATATATGGGAAGTAGTACCAGTTTGGAGTGAGAATTTTGGAAGGTGAAGATTGATGGTTGAATTTGGTCATTATTGGTATATATAGAGAAAATAAGAGTGAAGCTCTGTTAGTGAATTGGAAGTTCTTTGTAATAATGATATGGATTGAGAGAATGGAGTATTCTCTGATCTCCAGTCTTCATTCAAGAATATTTATGTGATCAGATCGATTTGATGTGGTGATCATGACAAGGATTGTCCGGGACCGGATCCTCAAGGATGTGAATGGTAACATTAGTGATCATTTGCGCAATCATATACATTTGACGAATTGTATTCATTTGAAGAACCATATGCATAAGCAAAGCCCTATCTTGGCCGATAGGTCCCTTATGAGGGACCTTGTCATCCTTCAAAGATCAAGGTCCCTGAGGGATCCTTCTGCAAGCCCACCCTCGTCTCCTTCACCCGTGGGAGCCCTCCTCAAAAGAGCTGAAAGGGATTCTGTTATAAGCAATGGGAGACGATCTGTAGGCATAGAACGTCCCATGGGTGGTAGATGCTTTTCTGGTAGCTCCCCTCAAGAGTTTCGTGTAGCATCTTCTAGAGTTTCTTCTGGTGAAGCTAACGGGGATAAGAGTGGAATTCGAGAAAGGAGAAGAGTTAGGAGAGAAGAATCGAGCGGGAGGATTCTTGGGAATGATTTGATTCCAGATGAAATAAATGGTTTCATCCAAAACACTATTTCTAGAAACTGTGAGCAGAGGGATAAAAGTATCAAGCAAAATGGACGGTATGTTCAAGATGATCATATCAAGACTCTCTCTGAGCAATTGAACGAGTACCCCGTTGACAGTGATGAGGTGGCTTCATCCAAAGCTTATAGACAACACGTTCACACTGAGAAACTTGCAATGGAAGCTGAAGCAACCGTTCGTAGATATTGCAGTGGGAGAGCAAAACGCCATAAGTTTCGAGGTGCAAGGAGAACCCGGGTTCCTCAAAAGGAGATGTCTGTGGCTTCTAATTCTCTAGCTCAAGGTGCATCAAACCCGAGGTATCATACTGCAGAAGAGGATGGAGATCAAAATATCACGAGGGCTCCTAGGAATGGATGTGGGATTCCTTGGAACTGGTCAAGAATTCACGACAGGGGCAAATCATTTTTTGACCTGGCAGGAAGGAGCTTTTCTTGCGGTTTATCTGATTCAAGGTTAAAGAAAGGCGGTGCTTTTCCTCACGGGAAGGACATTGCAGCTATGCCTGTGACATCTGAGTATACAAGTTCCTCGGATAAATCTGTCGAGGCGTTGCCCCTACTTGTCGATCCTTCTGGATCTCTAGGAAGTAAAGACAATGCTGCTTGGGTTCATGATTATTCGGGGGAATTGGGTATCTTTGCTGATGATCTACTAAAGCATGAAATCGACTCCGACCTTGTGTCTGAAGGAAGATCCGGGGAGCAACGCAAGTTTCATCGACACGGTCCCGAGAGGCACCAAAGTCTCAACCAAAAGTATATGCCAAGAACCTTCAGAGATCTAGTAGGGCAGCATTTGGTTGCACAAGCTCTTTTCAATGCAGTTGTGAAGAGGAAGGTTGGGTTACTTTATGCGTTCTACGGGCCTCATGGCACTGGAAAAACTTCGTGTGCTCGTATATTTGCCAGGGCGTTAAATTGCCAGTCCTTGGAGCATCCAAAGCCATGTGGAATTTGCAACTCTTGCATTGCACATGATATGGGGAAGAGTCGTAATATAAGGGAAATAGGACCTGTCAGCAACTTCGACTATCAGAACATTATGGATCTTCTTGACAATATGATCTTTGCTCATCTTCCATCTCCGTATAGAGTGTTCATCTTTGATGATTGTGACAGTTTGTCGCCTGATAGTTGGAGTGCTATCATAAAGGTTCTCGATCGTGCTCCTAGGCGATTCGTTGTTGTCCTCATTTGTTCAAGCCTTGATGTGTTGCCTCACACGATCATATCCAGGTGCCAGAAGTTCTTTTTCCCGAAGTTAAAAGATGCAGATATCATCTATACATTGCAGTGGATCGCAACCAAAGAAGATCTAGAAATCGACAAGGATGCACTAAAGCTCATTGCTACAAGATCAGACGGATCTTTGAGGGATGCTGAGATGACCCTCGAGCAGTTGAGTTTGCTCGGGCTCAGGATTTCTGTTCCTTTGGTTCAAGAACTCGTAAGTCTTTGTCGTTTTGTCCTATTAAAGCTTTAGTTATAGTTCTCTGGCTAACTAACCAAATGTGCATTGAAATTTTGGAATTAAAGCTTTGATAACGATTTTGTATGGTATGTAGGTCGGGCTTATCTCCGATGATAAGTTAGTAGATCTACTCGACTTGGCACTATCAGCAGACACAGTCAATACTGTGAAAAGTTTGCGAGAGGTCATGGAATCTGGAGTCGAGCCATTGGCTTTAATGTCACAACTTGCCACAGTCATTACTGATATTCTCGCTGGCAGCTACGATTTCACAAAAGACAGTCCTATCAGGAGATTCTTCCGCCGCCAAGCATGTAAGCAAATTTTAATTTGACACCTTACTGTGTTAAATGGCATATTATTATTGTTGAAAAATAAAGAGTCTGGTTTATCTATAGGGTTGTGTCAGTTATGAATAGTTACTTACAGTTATGTGTTTCAGTATCTAAAGATGACATGGAAAAGCTACGTCAAGCTCTCAAAACGTTATCTGAAGCGGAGAAACAGCTGAGAACATCAAATGACCGACTTACTTGGCTTACAGCTGCATTACTTCAGCTCGCCCCGGATCAACAGTACGTCTTACCCACCAGTTCTTCTGCAGGCACTAGTTTAGATCAAAGCCCCATAGGCTTAAATTATAGAGGTGGACGAGAGAGACCCAGGAAAAGTAATGCTGAGTGTAGTGAGGTGCTTCCCCGAGAAAGAACAAAAATTAAGGTGGAAAGCTTTCAAACTGGCAGTACGAGTGACAGTTACAATGGTTCCAAAACGAGAGGCACGGTTGATAGAAACGGACATCCTCAGCAGACATGCAACGTTTCTAGTGATAACAGAAAACTAGGTAGTAGACAAGTGTCTGGTAAACTCCGCAATGAACTCGAAGAAATTTGGTTGGCGGTGCTAGAAAAGATTCATATAAATAGCTTAAAGCAGTTCTTGTATCAGGAAGGAAAGCTGATCTCGGTTAGTTTTGGCACAGGTACTTCATTTGCGTTTGATTCTCTATTCTTGTTCAATTTGTCATAACATATCGAGTCTTAAACTGAAACGAAAAATTTACTTCGACATGTTAAAGTCTTAGCGGTTTTCTTGTTTCTGCAGCTCCCACTGTGCAACTAATATTCAGTTCACACACGACAAAATACAAGGCAGAAAAATTAAGACTACATATTTTGCAAGCTTTCGAGTCTGTTGTTGGGTCCCCGGTGACAATTGAAATTAGAGCTGATTTATGGAAAGATACAAAGGCACGGCCACAGCCAATTATCTTGCCCCCATCTCAGGATACCAATGGAAGTGGACAAAGGTTTCAAAAAGATACAGAAGGTTTAGCCTTAACGACAGTCAACTCCACTGGGATCGAGAAAAACGAGATTATTGAAGAAGTAGACCGTGAACATTTTGAAGGAACGAGCTCAACTGCTAAGGTTTCCAACGTGACCTCTACTTCGGATTTAAGAAAATTGGGGGACAGGAATCAGAGTCAGAGCCTGGTGAGGAGCCGGGTATCTCTTGCTCACGTAATTCAGCAAGCAGAAGGATGTGTGCCCGAGAGTGGATGGTCTAAACGCAAGGCTGTTTCCATTGCTGAAAAGCTCGAACAAGAGAATCTGTATGTTCTTCTTTTCCCAACTATTAATATTTCCAAGTTTTACAATTGGTATATTTATTTTTTTTCGAGAAAACCCGTAGTTATCACAGAATGTAATTAGCCTTGACATTCTCTTCTATACAGGAGATTGGAACCAAGATCAAGAAGCTTGCTTTGCTGGAAGGCTACTACACCAGTATCCCACCGAAAGGTAACAATAGATTTTTAAGATAATTTTATGTTCGATATATCAAAACATTTGCATTATATAGGGATTGTTAGAACCAAGTTTCACCTAAACTACAATTCTTTCATGCAGCTCTCGCGCCTCAGAAGCAGAAGTAGGAAGCCAAAAGGTTTACTGAAATTGGTGTCCTGTGGGAAATGCCTCTCTGGTAGGTCTCCGAGGCAACGATAGAGAATTCATAGCAGATGATGATGCATATGCAGGCTTAGCTGCAGGTTCAATTGCATTTTCTTGATTCATTAGTTCCCTCCAGTCTGAAAAGTTAAATTTCTTCTGTTAAATGCTTTTCTCTCTAATAATAACATAGAAGGAATAGAAAGTAGAGAAGGATTAACTCTTCCGGTCATTAGTTTTAGGATTCTTTATGTTACCAGCATAGTGTTTGACTTGAAGTCATTACCAGTATTAGTGCATCTCTTTATATACTTTCTTGAAGGAGTCCCCTTTTTTTTCTTTCCTTTTTTTTTTTTAACAAATAAATTTTATTTCATTAAAATGATGAACCCAAATAAGAAAATAGTTCGACTCCCTATAGGAGTGACATATTGATCTTCTTGGTTTGAACTGTTCAGCTATGAGCAATCTAAGCTGGTTTACCTCCTTGTGGTTTTTGGCCGGCTAGGCTCACAAGGCGGGGTTTACCAGTGCACACTCTCGGATAGTTGCTGCGAGTTTTCCTCGTCACTCAAGAATTGGTCTAAAACAGATTCTGAATACTCATGATTAACAATTTATTACAATTCACAACAATTAACAATCTTACAACAAAATTTTGTTATTGCCTTTGGGTTTTCTTGGGAATAAGAACATTAAAATCAGTAACAGTCCATTCTGCCTCTTGGTCAGGGTCTTTATATATTTCAGTTCCCAGGTCAATTGACGTCCATTTCCTCCTAGCTGGTACACTCCCTGGATCCTGCATCCAAATTATGATACTTTTAGAATGCCAAACTCTTGATTTCCTTTCTTTTATCTTTTAGGTCAATAATGGAGATTAATCATGGCAATCTGTTGGTAAAGTTGTTGACTTGGTAGCCACCAGGTTACAAGTTCGACTCCCAGTGGGATCCAGCCTATTGGTTGGTGCACACCCTCGGGTAACTTTTTGCTGTTCTTCCTAATGAAACTTGAAAAGAAGAGCAAAAGTTACTTACCTGGTAAAAGTGGAGGGATTTTGACAGCCTCCCAACATCAAGATCCCATGTTCTTGGGTCACCAATCCACCCCTCCCCTTGCTTGGTAGGGTAACCATAATCACCCCAAACTGGATGGGGCAAAATCTGCATAATCTCCTGTGGTTGAGGATTACTGTATGGGTCACAAGGAACATAGGGGCTCTCAATATGCTCCCCATTCCCTGGTGCACAGTACACGTGATAGGCCTGATAGGGATAGTTAGCTGTGTCGTTCCGGTGCACCTTGGTTCCATTAGGGAATGTGTGGTATGGAGGGCATAGCTTTGGGTCCCCAGGATTGCACCAGGATGGTGTTTCTGGGTTCAGTATCATTTCGCTGTAACGTGTTACGTCTGATGTTACATTCCCATCACATCGCTTCCCATTGTTCTTCCAGCAGCTCCCCATGTCTAGCAAGTAGAATTGGCTGTTTGGACCTCCTCCCTTGATCACATTCAGGGTGAATCTCACTCTGAAGTGTGGCGATCTCGGTATCTGAAAAACCAGACCACATCATTCAACATTCAAGAATCATATGTTTTAATAATCATCAGTCTGAATCAAAGAATTTAATTTACTCACAATTTTTAACATGCCCCTAGTTGGATAATGGTACCCACCAGAGAACCCTCTTGTGGCATCTGATCTTAGATAAAGCATCAGCCATGGGTATTTTCTTGAGGTCCTCAAAACATGGTGGAAAACCCAGCTTCCTTTTCCAAGCTCCTTCTCCCATTTCACAGAATAGAAAGAACCATTCTCACTCCCTATATTGCTCAGCCCAGAGTCCAAATCCCATGACCCATAAAAGCTTCCTTTGAGTGAAGTCCTATTAGGCCCTTGTAAAGATGTGTAATTGTGATAAATCAAAGGCTGGTTCATGCACCCTTTCCCAAAGCAAGGGAACTGGTTACCAGACCCAAATGGCCCTACTTTTTGGCCATTTTCTGGGCACTTTCCTGCATAGGTATCCATGTTGCCATTCTTCAGCATGATCATCCAGAATTGCCATGGTTTCGGGGTGTCGTCAACCTGACATTTTGAGCCTAAGTAGAGCTCTTTCTGTGCAGCATAAAGGTCTGCATTAAACACTGCTTCTGATTCCACTCCAAGAAAAGATTGCCCAATTCCAAGCTTGTTATCCTCTTCAGTGACTCTGTGGACTAACTCATAATAAGGGACTAAATTGCAGAAACAACAGCAATCATCATCCCAAAACCATCAAACATCAGACATGGAAATCTTAATAATCCAGAATGTTCAATGATCAAGAAAAGATGCCATAAAGAAACACACTGACCTTGTGAATGGGGAGGAGAAGTCTTGTAGAGATCAAAGCAATCTGCAGCTCTGGGGCTGCCCATGTTAGGAGCCTCTTCTCCAACCTCATTGCACTGGTTCCATCCTTCTATGGCCAATCTCAGCCCATCCCTTGCCATTCCTGGATCCCCAACGGCTGAGATGTACTCACCCTCCTCACCATTGCAATGGGAGAATGCCTTGGGAACAAACACATTGATCAAAACAAGAAGATGAAGAATGTGGAAACCTGGAAGTTTTGGTTGAGCCATTTGATATGTTTCAAGCATGAGAGCATGCACTTCTGTTTCTGTATATATACAGGTAATTTTGGATTATCCTAAGTTGTAAGAAATGGCTTTTTTGTTTTTTTTTTTTTTTAATGACGAGAGAAACCCGCCACCACTATCTGAGGGTGTGTCCTGAGTAAACTTAGCTGGCAAAATACCACAAGGAGGTAAACCAGCTTATATATAGATTGCTCCCGGTGGGAGTGAAACTTGGAAACTTTTAGTTACCAAACTAACAGCCCGACCTATTAGTCAACTTTACTTTATATTTCATTTTCCCCTAAACTGCACTTCACTTCCATGATTTAGTGACCAAAAATATAAATTAGTGACGTTCATTACATTGATTTTTTTTTTTTTAAATTTTCGATCTGTACATTTTGATATCAATGGTATACGTTTTCATATATTATGTATTTTCTTAAATTATGGAGTTAGAATGCAAATTGAGACTATATACAACGAGTTCGATCAAGAAATGTTAACAAGAATTAAAGATACGAGAATCATGCCATATGTATTACTTGTTTCAAGTCAAAAATGGCATATCCAATAATAATTTCGGATTGTAAGAGAGAAGTGGTGCAAGTGGATCCGGTGTAGCTTCTTCTAACCCTAAGCTTCAGAGATAACCCTTCCCCAAATGATGTGTAGTTGTGCACAAAAAAACAAATGTTTATTTATTTTGTTTCATCAAAGGAGTTTAGTGATAGTTTAACTCAAATATTCGCTTTAGCATGCGGCAGAACACTTTTTTTTATTAAGAAAAAAAAGGGAATATTAATTCATGAGGGGTCCACTATTTTTCTTTAATATTTGACCCTTTACTAGTTTGGTTTAATAATAATAGTAATCAATATATGGTAGTTGAATACTATAATTTAATTAGTATTAGCAATTTTTCTTTAATATTTGACCCTTAACTAATTTTGTTGTTTTTTTTTTTTTTTTTTTTGAAAGCCTTTACTAATTTTGTTTAATAATAATATATGGTAGCTGAATACTAGAATTTAATTAGTATTAGCAATTGATGGAGTTATAGGGAGGTCTAACTGGACCTAATAACTCAAGCAGTAAAATTTTTGACCAGCTAAGCGGGCAGGTTGTTAAGGTGGCCTCTAAAAGGCTACTAGGTTAGTTAGGAAATAAAGGCTGACAAATCGTCTAATGAGACCATCGAGTAAATCGATTGACTACTTCACCCGCTCTCCTCTTGACTAAGCGATTGACCTTGTGCTTTGGTCGTCTAATGAGAACATCGAGTAGATCAATTGACTAACTACCTCATCTCTCCAACTTATACTTGCCACGTAGACCTACTTCTTGCGCACAACGAGTCAATACCATCCCCAATGGGGATCAAACTCATGACCTCCCATTTGGAAGAGCCACTTCGTGCCACTACACCACAAGGTCATTAGCATTGACTTTGTACTATTCATACTAGACTTTTATATCTTGAAGTTAGTCAGCTTGATTTGATCTAACCGATTAACTTCACTCAATCGCTATATCGTATCGTGCTGGGGTCTTTCGACTGATCGATTAATATTCTATCTATATACACTCAATTTGCTTCAATGATCACACCATAACAAATTTCAGACCCTCCGTCTAATTTACACCATCAACAACAAATATTGAAAGTCGTAACACAAAATACACCATGGTACCAAAAAATTTTATAATTAAAATCATACTAAAACTTTAAATATGCGTATTAAATTATCAAAACTTAAAAAAAGATTTAATTAGAATGATCACAACTAGGAATTTTTCCCACCAATATGCTCGGACAGTAACTTGTTCCTTTGAATAATATTTAAAATATTTCATTAACACCATATATAAAATTACACTCAATAAAATTCAAATCTTTTGATTAAGAAAACAAAAGAGTAAAGAATCATTGCTTAACCTTTGAACTAAGGATTGGAATAACATAATTAAAAAACGAGAAATTTTCTTTAAAACATTGTATTTTTCATTTCCAAGTACACCTCTGAGGAAAAACTGATGAGGTTTTTCTTCAAACCATATATCAGTATCTTTCAAAAATGAGAAAAGAATGTTTTTTTTTTCTTTTTGCCAAGGCAATTTTGTTTTATTGCCTATTTGGCTCTAGATGTTCTTAAGGATAAGAACATTAAAGTCACTGACAGTCCATTCTGCCTCTTGGTCAGCATCTTTATAAATTTCAGTTCCCAAGTCAAGTGATGTCCATTTCCTCCTAGCTGGTGCTGTCCCTGGATCCTGTACCAAACACAACTTTTCTTTTAGTGACAAGAAACCTGAGATCACTATGCGAGAGTGTGTAAATCAGTCTAAATTATCCATAACTTGTTAAACCCTAGGCCTAGACCTTTTAGGAATGGACCCATTAGGTTATAACTTATTCCTGTATAAATAGTAGATATCTGAACAGTTCTTTACACTAAATACAATGAATCCTTTATTCTATCATTCAATATAGCTGATTGGGTCAAACCAATTAAAAAAACTAATATACTGCTCCCGCTGAGAAAGTCAACAGCTTAACCAACTTGGATGCGTCCAAACACAACTTTGTTAACATAGGTTCATGCCCTCTTGTTTTCTTTAACTTTTATAGGTTAGTCATATGCCAATAATGGAGATTAATCATGTCAAACTGTCATTTTGCACTTTCTTTTTTCAATTTCTTCTCATCTGTAATTATGAGAAAGTGAGAGCTTAGAAAAACAGCAAAAGTTGAGTACCTGGTAGAAGTATAGGGATTGTGACAGCTTCCCAACATCAAGGTCCCATGTTCTTGGGTCACCAATCCATCCCTGCCCTTTCTTGGTAGGGTAACCATAAGCACCCCAAACTGGATGGGGCAAAAGCTGCATAATCTCCTGTGGTTGAGGATTACTGTAGGGGTCACAAGGAACATAAGGGGTCTCCATATGCTCTCCATTCCCTGGGGCACAGTACAAGTGATAGGCCTGATAGGGGAAGTTAAGAGTGTCATTCCTGTGAACTCTGGTTCCATTAGGGAATGTGTGATATGGAGGGCATAGCTTTGGGTCACCAGGATTGCACCAGGATGGTGTTTCTGGGTTCAGTATCATTTCGCTGTAACGCGTTACGTCTGATGTTACATTCCCATCACATCGCTTCCCGTTGTTCTTCCAGCAGCTCCCCATGTCTAGCAAGTAGAATTGGCTGTTTGGACCTCCTCCCTTGATCACATTCAGGGTGAATCTCACTCTGAAGTTTGGCGATCTCGGTATCTGAAAAACCAGACCAGATCATTCATCATTCAACATTCAAGAATCCTATGTTTTAATAATCATCAGTCTGAATCAAAGAATTTACTCACAATTTTTAACATGCCTCTAGATGGATAATGGTACCCACCAGAAAATCCTCTTGTGGCATCTGATCTTAGATAAAGCATGAGCCATGGGTATTTTCTTGAGGTCCTCAAAACATGGTGGAAAACCCAGCTTCCTTTTCCAAGTTCCTTCTCCCACTTCACAGAATAGAAAGACCCATTCTCACTCCCTATATTGTTCAAATCCCATGACCCATAAAAGCTTCCTTTGAGTGTAGTCCTATTAGGCCCTTGTAAAGTTGTGTAATTGTGATAAATCAAAGGCTGGTTCATGCACCCTTTGCCAAAGCAAGGGAACTTATTACCAGACCCAAATGGCCCTACTTTTTGGCCATTTTTTGGGCACTTTCCTGCATAAGTATCCATGTTGCCATTCTTCAGCATGATCATCCAGAATTGCCATGGTTTCGGGGTGTCGTCAACCTGACATTTTGAGCCTAAGTAGAGCTCTTTCTGTGCAGCATAAAGGTCTGCATTGGACACTGCTTTTGGTTCCACTCCAAGAAAAGATTGCCCAATTCCTAGCTTGTTTTCCTCCTCTGTCACCCTGTGGACCAACATGTATGGGACTAACTTGCAGAAAGAGCAATTGTTCTTCCCTGCACACCCAAAACCATCAATCATTTATATCAGACAACCTTAAAAACTCCAAAATTATGCAAGTTTGTGTTCAATAACCAAGAACACAACCCCTGCAATCAACAAATATGAAATGAAACAAAGATTTGTTTTTTTACAACATAGAGCCATCATGTCTCCTTAACAGTAAACTATGGGGACCAAGAGAGGAACAAGAAAGCATAAAAACACCCTGACCTTCAGACAGAGAAGGAGAAGCCTTATAGACATCAAAACAATCTGCAGCTCTGGGGCTTCCCATGTTAGGAACCTCTTCTCCAACCTCATTACACTGGTTCCACCCTTCTATGGCCAATCTCAGCCCATCCCTTGTCATCCCCGGATCCCCAACGGCTGAGATGTACTCACCCTCCTCACCATATCCAAGGCACAACACCTTAGGAACAGACACATTGAACAAAACAATGAGATAATAAAGAACTAAAATACATTGAAGTTTTTGTTGAGCCATGGACAAGTTTCAAGCATGAGACCATGTAGGCATGTACTTCTATATATAAACCACAAGGACTAAAAAGGGAATAGAGAAGATAGTTTTGAGTTTCTTCATTTCCTCCCTATTATGTCCAAAAGCTTCCAAATTTTTCTTGCCCATTTTCCTATTTTTATACTAGAAGTTAACTCACCTTTAGTGTCTTACAACTATACTTGTTTGCAACATTGGGTATGGAGTAAATAATGGTATGCAGCTGTTGGTGGTTGCCACTTGCTCCTTTTCATAATGTGTTAGGTAGAAATATTAGAAATTATAATCAGTCTAAGATCTTTTTACCAAATACTCAACAAAATTTGATGCTGGGCTACTTAACCTCATAAATTTGATCCCAATTGCCCTTATTATGTACTTATTATATGTAGTAGGTGGTGTGTCTATACAACTTTAATGCCAAAAAAATTGTAGTTGGTATTCAAAATTCCATACAAAAAGTCTCAAGTTTATACTCATTTTCTTTGTACGTACAAAGAAAATATTACAAGGTTAGTACTTTTTTTTAAGGAAAAACAGAAAAGACATTAATTATCAAAAACTAAATGTTGAATACAAGTTTAGTAATTTTGATTCTTGAAAAATATTATGCAGTGAAACAGCTAACATATGCCATTCAGGATAATGATATAAGCCATACATAACTGCATTAAAACGTGCCCATGTGGGGGCATGTGGCTGTTAGTAGTTAATTTCATCATTGCAATACATAGAAATTAATAGCACACACTCCTAACTTTATACTCCCTCTGCCGAATTGTATGTCACATTTACTGTTTGCACCTTTTTTTTTAGAAATTAAAGTAAATGTTATGTGTTTTTCAATTATGTCCCTCACTTTTCTTACTTTTAGAAATAAAAGTAATAAAGAAAGTAAAATTCATAAGGGTAAATTAGGAAAAGTAGAATGATGATGATGTTCAATTTTGGAAAGAGGACAACATTTTGGGGCAAACAAAAAAGGAAAATAAGACAAAAAAAATGGGATGAAAGGAGTATCAAATATCTACTATGGAGACAGATTATGTGAAAACGTGCACCAAGCAAAATTATAAAACATGTTTTATGATATGTAAAAGTGTACTAAAAATGTGTACACCTTGCGATATGTAAAAGTGTACTAAAAACGTGTACACCTTGAGAAAAATGTAAAAACGTAACTTGAGAATGGGTGTAATTTATAGTTTTGCGTCGTGTACTTTTGTGTTTGCTTTTTTGCACCTGAGTGTGCATTATCAGCTGATGCGGCCCCTCAACATTAATCTGTATTATTATCATATGTGCCTAAATAAATACATAAAACTCTTGATTAATTGTTGAGTAAATACCCAAAATGGTCCCTCGACTATAGCTAAATTCACAAATTGGTCCTCAACTTTCAATTTCACCCAATTAAGTCCTTAACTTTGTAATTTTAACACAATTTGGTCCTCTGTCTATTTGACCGTTTGTTGACTGTGATTTTTGAGGATATATATGTAATTTCATGGTCCATCGTCGGTTTTTTAAGGTTCCGGTTGCATTTTCAGACCGCACTGTTACATTTGAATCCACTGTCGAAAGCAATCTACCAAACCCGGTCACCTTCTTCATCCTCCCTTTGGATTCAATATAGTTGAATTCGTACCATAGCGAAGAAGACGATGTGTTTCCGAACCGGTGCAACGTCATCCTGGAGGCCTCCACGTGCTCCGACGAGAGCTGAAGGTTCTTCTGGAGATCGTCGATCACGGTCAACAAACGGTCAATTAGATGGAGGACCAAATCGTGTCAAAATTGCAAAGTTAAGAACTTAATTGGGTGAAATTAAAAGTTGAGGACCAATTTGTGAATTTAGCTATAGTCGAGGGACCATTTTGGGTATTTACTCTTAATTGTTGAAAACAGGGTTGTAAAAATCGGTCTAGGCGCCCGCCTAGGCGCTAGGCGCCTCTAGACCGTGGCGATTTCCCCCCTAGGCGCCCGCCTAGGTTACCGGCCGCCTAGGCGCCCGCCTAGCGCCTAACTCGGCCGATTTGGCCGCCTAGCGTCTAAGTTAGTCGAGTTAACTCGTCCATTTCGGTCGAGTTAACCCGATTGACTCGGCCTATTTTTTTATTATATATGTGTGTGTGTGTGTGCACGCGCGCGTGCATACATATATATAATATGACATATATACACTAGTAGACTAGTTTGATACTTTGGGTGATTGAAGTATTTGAGTATTTCATATTGAGTGTTTTTAATGTTTTTTTTTTTTTTTTTTTTGTTGAAAACCATTGTTTTGATGTTATGACTTATGAATTATCATTAATTCATTTATTTGGATGTGTTATTTGAGTAAATGTTGAAAACAACCTCATTAAAATTGTCAAACTGCAAGTCTAGCACTGTTTTCTTGGCGCCCGCCTAGCGCCGCCTAGATTCCGCCTAGGCGCCGCATAGACCGCCTAGGCGCTAGGCGCTGTCCGGGCGCCCGACTAGCGCCTAGCGCCTACTGCAACCATGGTTGAAAATAAAATTTGTTTTTAATTTTTGTAAAGCAATTGGTGGCTATATATTATTATGTGATGGGGATGTTGCTAAAGGGCAACAGCAAGGTCAAAAATGAAAGAAAGACAGGGGGAAACAGCAACTTTAGGACTAAGGGAAAAAAAGGGGTATTCTTGGACCCAAAGTGATGCTTTCATCATTTTCTCAAGTAAAGATAAAGTAAATTAGTATAAGAGTAGACTTCGTGGATAGATATTCTTATACTATGGGAATGGATTAGAATTTACAGTAATATTTTTCTTGAGAAGAACAAATAAGAATTTTTTGAGAAAATACAAACAAAATGGCCCCACACGGTGAGGGTTGGTTATGGTGGTGGACACTGGAAAGTAAATGAGACACCAAAGTCAAATGTCGTATAGTAAATTAGTACGCAAATACCCTGTCGGCCAAGCCTACATGTATTAAAAAAAAAAATAGAGAAATAAAATTTAAATTTTATGGGAAAATGGATATAGATTTTATATTTCATTCTTCCAAAAGGTTGAACCCCAATCTTAAAGCGCCCCCACACCCCGACAGAGTATTTGGGAGGATGTAAATCATGATAACTTAACTGAACATGAACCACAGAGGCTAGACCTTTGCTTACTGCGCACAAGGAGCCCCTCACTTTGAGAGGTAGCTCCCACACTACCGCGAGTGATACTCGATCTTTGGTCATTTTTTCAACTTTTCACCTCTAAAATTTATATTTCATTATTTAATTAGTGGAAGCTCTAAAGATTCTATAAAGAAAAAAATAAATTAAATTTTTTTCTTGAAAATTCACAACCCAAAAATAAATAAATAAATAAAATCATCTACCACTAATCCAACATGAAAATTCACAATTGTTGAGGAAAATAATTTCTCCCGCAGAATCTTACTAAATAAGAGACCAAAAGTTTTTCATGATTAATTAAAAGTTAAAAACATCTTTTCTTTTTTTTCCTTTCTTTCTTTTTCCAAAATAAACAAATTTAAAATTCAAACTGAATTTCACACATTTAAGCCCAGTACAAGCTTAAACTCAAATTATTGAGCCCAATGTAGGTCAGGGCCAGGTAGATTTCCAAAGTCTCCAAAATAGTTAGTCAAGTATCTCTGTATAATTGTATAAATCCAAAGTCCAAACACATCCCGAGGTTAAATTATACCGGCAAATTATTATGTGGACAAGGTGGATCCGGAACTAAAATATACAATTTACATATTAAATGTTCACAATTTATATACTGAATATACACAATTTTGTAAAAAGTAAATTGTAAACATTTATTATGTAAATTATGAATATTCAATATATAAATTGTGTATTTTAGACCCGATTTCACCTTGTAAGGTGAACCCTGGTCCATGGTATAACTCTCTGATATATATAGTATATACGGGGTATAATATGTGTACGGACGTAGGCAGGGCTCGGGATCCGAGTGACGGGTCGGGAAGCTCCAATCTTGCCTTGTGCCTCCCGTACACGTATTATACCCCGTATATATTATATCATTTTGGCGCCGTTTGTGGGGATCCCCTTCTCCTCCAATAGCGCTCTCTCTCTAGCTAAACACTCTCCCCTCTCTCTACACAAGAGCAAATTATGAATAAAGACATTGTTCATACCTATCACCTACGATACATACATCCTACTACACGGGAATTAGTACTATCACTCTCCAATTATACCCTGTATAATGTTTATTGGAAATTTATTTTTAATATATTAAATATTTATTTTAAAACAGCAAATTAAAAATAAATTTCATAATACAAATAAACAAATGAACATATAGTACACAAAAATAAACTTGTATGTTAGTAGCCCACCGATTGCATCCCGAGGAATCAAATTGGTTGAAAAAAAAAATGAAAGAAAAAGAAAGGAAGTGTGGCAAGTAAAGATGCTGTCAATTAACAATATAAAAATATCTCTTAGCTAAATTAATCTCATATACTGCAATACCAACACATAAAAGACAAACAACAATGCTGCTCAAAAAAAAAAAAGACAAACAACAAAGAGTATCATGTTGTACCTGGTACAATCAAACAAGAGTAGTGAATCGTATTAGGTATTGTTAGCACTAGTATTAACAATATCTAATATAACCCATTAAATCTATGTATTCATATCAAGCACAACACCAGATAGTGATCAGCAATTCAACACCTTATAATTTCCAAACATATATATATATATATATATATATATATATATATATATATATATATATATATATATAAAGAAAGAAAGACAGAAAGACAAGAAAGTAAAAAGGGTAAAGGGAATGGAAGTTGCAAGTATAGGTAGAAGAGCAGGGGAATTTGGTCCCCCCAAGGAAGAACAGAACAGCCATTCTGTAAATGAACAAGTACAAAGTAGAAAGTAAGGGCAACAGTGGAGAAAAGTGGGTAAAGTGCACACAACATTTAAGGCGGGCCTTTCTTTTGAATTCTGCACTACACAATTCACACACAAAAAAGCAAAAACACTTCTCCACTCTCCCACCAATATGAAACCCACCTTCCCATTAACCCCCTAACCGCCCCCTAACTGCTCCCCCCTTCTTCTTCTTCTTCTTCTTCTTCTTCTTCTTCTTTCCCTCCACTATTCATATCACCTTTTCACTCCCCCTAAGGAAATCCCAAGAAATCATTCTTCACTCTGTGAAATGATGAAATGGAAGAAAGACAGAGCTTCAGCTTCTGCTTCCTCCTCATCTCATCACTCCCTCATCACTCATGTCTTTCCGGTTTCTTGGTTTTCAAAGTTCAAGCAAAAGAATCTGAGTTCTATCAAGCATAAAGCTACAGGGAAGCAGGAGTTACCTTCTCCGAGCTTGTCGGTGCATAGTTCCGGGTTGAAGGAAGGGAGATTTTACAGCAGAGAGGATGATCCTTACTGGAGGCTTTCATTTAGCGAGGACAGGATTGAAGGCGAGAAGAGTACAGCGGGTAGGAATTCCTTTTCTTCTGCTTCAATCAATGAGCTTGAGGTTCCATTTTCCAGAATTGTTAAAGCAGAAGAAGATGGGAAATTTGATCCCATGGTTAATGGGAAAACAAAGTCCCTGAAAGATGAAAAGTTACGGAAAATGAGCAGAAGAGCATTAGAGGAGAGGCTAGCAGAAATGGAAATAGGATGTAATGGAGGAGAAGAGATCATACCCAAGTCAATCGAGAAAGATATATTCGAAATTGAACCAGAAAAGGAAGTCCAAAGGGACTACTTGTTTGAGGGTTCAAGTTTGGAGGAAAGCAATCCAATTTCTGAGAGAGATAAGTTGGAAGAAATGAAGATCAATCAGGAAAGGAAATCCATTCATATTCCCAGGCATTACCAGAGGAGAAGGAGAAGGAGAAAGCAAGGTGTCAAAGTTGGAGCTTATTCTCCCAGAACAACTGCCAAGATTGAGTGCAAGATCAAAGCTTTGGAAGACATGAAAAGGTCAAAGATGAAGATGAAGGGCAAAAGAGGGAATGATGACAGAACAGCCTTTGACAGCTTTGCTGTGGTGAAGAGTTCATTCAACCCAGAACAAGACTTCAAAGATTCAATGGTGGAGATGATCACACAGATAGGGATCAAACAGCCAGAAGAACTCGAAGAGCTCTTGGCATGTTACCTCACATTGAATTGTGATCAATACCATCATATCATCATCAATGTCTTCCGGCAGGTATGGTTTGAGCTGAACCAAGCCTATGTCAGTGCTCATATCCAGAATAACTTCTGCTGTCATGATCTTCATAAGCTTACTTAAAATGCTGTAAATAAATATTATTATGTACTTCTCTAAACTAATGCATTTTGTTACTGGAATCAGCTGAGCTTGAAACTATGCAACAAGTTTAATTTTCATAGACATAAACAGAACTCACCAGAAGTTTAGGTAATCATTTCTTCACCAGCCAAGAATTTATAAACAACTCCATCAATTCTGGCTCTTTAGTCACCCCCTGATTCCTCATCTTCTGTCGAACTTCCCCTTCATCCCATCTTCCCATCAATGAATGAAAATTTGATAGCTGAACATAACCAGAGCTTTCCTGGGGCTGGGGATTGGATTCTAAAAGCTTAGTTGCAATGGATTTAGCCAATTCAACATGGTTGTGATTTCTGCAAGCACTCAAAAGGGATTCCAAAATGGCAGGAGCATCTTCCACTGGGATTTCCATCCTTCAAGAATCCAAACCTGCCCAGTAGATCACCCATACAACCATAATGCTCAATAGCAGGCTGACTTTCATAATCAGAAACCATTGCGTGAAACATCTCGCGACCCTCGTTTAACAATCCTCCATGGCTGCAGGCTGACAGAAGACATACAAGAGTGACTCCATTGGGTTTAATCCCACTAGCAACCATTTCACCAAAAACCTTCAATGCCTGCTGCTCTGCTAAACCATGGATGCTTAGCCCTACAACCATGGAATTCCATGTACTAATGTCCTTTCTCACAGTACTTCCAAACACTTCCAATGTGTTCCCAATATCCCCACACTTTGAGTACATATCAACAAGAGTGGTAGCAAGAAAACCTCAATCCTCAATTTTGTTCTTATGGATGTAAGCATGAACCCACTTCCCTTGACTCAAACCTCCAACACCAGCACAGGCAGACAGAACATTCACAAGGGTACAATCATCAGGATCCATATATGATCTCTGCATATCCTTGAAAAGCAATATCACTTCACTAAGCATACCCACTTAACATCGCATTCCAAGACACAACATTTTTCACCACCATCTTATCAAAAACACTCCTTGCTTCGTCAATCAACCCACATTTCACATACCCAGAAAGCATAAAATTCCAAGACTCGAGATTCTTCTCAGGCATTTCAGTGAACAGCTCGCGTGCAAACTCAGTCAAACCCAGTTCTGTATAAACACTCAAGAATGCATTCCATGCAATCACATCATCGGTCAGTGACCTATCAAGCAAAGCACGCGCTTCTGCAAAGCATCTAGATTTCGCATATGAATCGAAGTGTTAAATACATAATTTTCATATAACAGTACATTTTTTTTTATCACTAAGCTATGTACTTGATGTCCTTGTTTCACATTCCCAGTAGCAGCACAGGCTTTAAGGATAAACGTGAAGGTATACTTATCAGCACAGACTAGTATCATGGTATTGTACATATATGCATTGAGCTGGTGAGTATGGTAAAAAATAGACCGGGCATACGAGAGAGAGTCGGCGGTAGTAGTGATGGTCGTGGCCGCCGCCGTTAGGAGGCGGCTGGCGGCATAAGGGTGGCAGAAAAGTCCAGTTTTGAGCATGCAAGCGTGAGCTTGCCGGAGCTCTGACATAGAAGTGGCCGTTTCAGTGAAGGAGAGGAGATTGCGGCCATAGAACAGATTTTTGCAGAGTAGCATTTGTCCTTGATTCTGGCCAGTAGGATATATAGCTAAGAGCAACCAACCAATGCATAATGAGAGAATAATGTCAGAAATTAGTGCCATGTAGAAGAGAGAAAAGGAAGAAAGAGAAAAATGGGATTCTCCTGCAAATGTGGGGAGATTTCAGAAATGTGGGACCCACCATAATTTTTAACCATGTGTGACAGCCATGCGTGGCTGTCACTGCACGCGCCCAGTGCACGCGCCAGCTGGGCCGGACAGTTAATAAAATAGTATTATTTTTATTTAATTTTTGTTTTTCCTTTTTTTTTTCTTTTCTTCTTTCTCTTCCCATTTTCTCTATCCTAATCACTCTTGCATTATCCCCCAATTCTCCCCAACCATTGTGGATGCTCTAACTCCTCTCACCTAATACGCACTTCAATCAATTATTATTCCTATCCCCGAAAATAACGTAGAACAGAAATCCTTTTTTTTTTCTTTTCGTACTATGTACACTATCATATATACTTTCTCAATTTATTGTAGTTCAAAGAGTCAATACCCCACCACTGAGGATCAGTATCTGTTCAAGATACTTTCTTCATCTGTTATAGTCTAAAGGGTCAATATCCCACCTCTGAAGATTCGATCATGTGTGATCTTCTTTCAAGGAGATTCACAGAGGTATCAACTAAGCACACGTGTTTGGCTAGAACCGAAATCTTATAATGTTATTTGATGTTTTTTTTAAAAGAAATCCTATAATGTTATTTGCTACTAATATATACAGAGCTTAGTGATTTGAGCACTCTAGTTTTTTCAAAGTAATCACGTTGGAAGTAGGCCAAGAACGCATTGTCCCTAGACGAGGCAAGACGACTAGATTTACCCTTTTATTATCCTATCTGGTTGGAATGTGAGGCCCTGAGGGTGAGAAAATTTTATTTTTGTGGACAAGGCCAATGATATATATCTAAGGTTTTTTGCAGAGGAAGTCCTTTAACTTCCTATAGCTATGAACTTGGCCACTTCAAATTTTCATTTTGTTTCTTTTTAAGCCTCAATGCTCATGGCTACACAAGAACCATATCAGACACTATATCAGCACTGCACAATGATAGTACTAAATCTAAGAAAATCATGTCTAGTATTGTCTAACTACTCGTTGATCAGAAAAACCGGTTCTATATACAAGGCTCGAAAGAATATTACAAAAGACTGTACTATACAGACTAAATTCACGATTACAAAACGTATCACATTTATCTTATCTCTGCTGGTGCATTATGCTCCAACTGTTCATCAAGGCTATTTATGTTCACATTTTTCATGCTCCTCCAAAGTTTCTTGTGGTTAACTGGATCATTTTCCCCTTTTTTGGCATCGAGATCTTTCCTTTCTTGCTGTACTTGTGATACATTGGAAGAACCAGGATTCTCGGTGAGGAACTGTTCCCAGAACACATCGTTTACTCCTGTTGGCGCATTTGTGACAGTCCCGGGTACTTCGAGAAGAGGGCTTGCGTTAGGCTCAGAGTTCATATCGATCCCACGAGTGTTAGCTGTTATAGTATCTGCATTTAGCTGTGTGTATGATATAGCGGGGCTATCTGCACAACGCCTAGATTCATCATCCAATTCAGTTTGAGCAACGTCTTGTAATATATTATCCCAGAAGATCAAAGAAGACTCCAGCTGATCTAACAGCTTGTCCAAGTGTTGAGAGGAGCTCGATTGAGTATCTGCCATGGCTGTTTCGTCGTGAAGGTTACTATTTCCCAGCAGCCTTCTCTTTCTGTAAGGCAGTGGTGATTGTGGCACGAGGCCTAATGCGAGCTCTGGTTTATCCAACGCCCGAGCTAAGGATGATAACATGCTCTTTTGCTGTTTTTCTGCATCACTTAGACGCTCAGCTACCCGTTCTAGTTCCAGCTCAAGTCCTCGCTGATCCTCTACGTGTCTTTCTAGTTCTGATTGAAGCAATTCCTTATCACGCCTCAGCTTTTCAATATCATCCTTATATCTTCGTCTTTCTGATTCAGTTAATGGAGATGAATGGCCATGAAGATTCTGGGCAGAATGACTGTAAACCGGCTTGCGCCTGTGGATGTTCTTCAAAAGGTGTGGCTCACCTCTAACAAAGTCATCATTTGCAAATTCCCAGTTTTCAGGATCAACTTTCTTGAATCCCTGATTAACAAGAGAGATAAATCGAGCATGAGAAATCAACACTCTATCAAACCAAGATCACATAGATTCAATCAACACAAGATTAGTCTATCAAACCAAGAACACATAGATTCAATCAACACAAGATTAGTCTATCAAACCAAGAACACATAGATTCAATCAATACAAGATTAGTCTATCAAACCAAGATCACATAGATTCAATCAATACAAGAATAGTCTATCAAACCAAGATCAAACCAACCAAATTGGTCAGACTACTTGATTTGGTAACCACAAGGTTATAAGTTTGACTCCCAACAAGAGCAGCCTATTGACCTTCTTGGTTTAAGACTTTAAGCCGGTCAGCTATGGGGTCTTTTGTCAGCTAGGCTCACAAGGCGGGATTTACCTGACGCACACTTCGGGTTGTGGCTGCAGGTTTCCCTCATCACTCAAAAAGACAAAAATAGTCTATCGAACCAAGATAATACAAATACAATCAACACAAAATTAGTCTATCAAACCAAGATCAAACAAATTCATGAACAAAAGTATGATATCCATACATAAGTATTCAGCTGTCTGATGAAGCTGGAGAAGTTATTGTGCTTGAAGAATCTGGGCAGCAAATCCCGGGCGAATTCGGGAGGGTTCCAGACAACAAAACTCTTGTTGTTCTGACTCCAGGAGACAATAGAATCGGTGGAGGAATCATCCACCATTTCATAAGTCTTGGCAATGAAAGGAGGCAAAGCATTGATGCTACAAGGATCTTCATCCATCATAACTGAGACCCAAGACAAATAAATCCCAACTGATAAAACTTAAAAGCAGAACCAAATCAATTCAAAGATGAAACCAATATGCTTTCTTGAACCATTTCTAACCTCCTCCTACACTTCAAATCTTCGATCAAAAAAACCACAAAAATCACAAGATGCCTGTGAGCTCAAAGTGTTTCTGCAGTATCAATCCAATGAAACTTCCATTAGTAAAATTCCAAACTTCTCATGAACTCCACCACTAGTCCAGGACCACCAGTCCCCTTCCCAAATAATCATTAAAGATTCCCTCAAAGCAAATCTCAAAAAGTCAACTTACAGGTACCCACCATCTCCAATCAATTCAATCTTTATCAGCAAAAACATCACAAAGCCACACTCTTCAGAACCCCCATTAAAACTGGAAAACCATCAAACACAAGCTTGCCTCTCTCTGCTCGCACAATACAAACAACAGAAAATAGTTAAAAGACTAACAGAATGAAGAAGAAGAAGAAGAAGAAGAAGAAGAAGAAGAAAGGAGGAGAAAAAGAAGCAACTGTAAAGAAAGTCAATTTCTTTCAAACATATATTTCAAAGTCGTTAAACTTGTCACCTTCCCCTTTTCTTCAAGCAAAAGAATCAAATTTCAGTCTTGAAACATAATCATATCATTCATACATATAATATTTTGAAAAATGTGTACCCTTAACACCCTGATTTGATATTTTAAACAAATATATTTTGTAGAAAAATTACTTGTATCAAATATTTTATACCAAATTTCATATAAATATATATGATAAGACAATGATATGCATTACAAACTGCATCAAGTACAAAAATTGATAAATTGATAGAGATACAGCTTAACATACAGAGCAGAAACGTCACTTTCCAAAAGACCTCTTCAGCCTTCAGGGAATTGGTTTACGGTTTACCATTTTGATAGTGGAGAGCGGTGGGAGGGTGAGGTAGGTGTTGTAATAATTGGTATGCGTGTGAACTATGAACTTATGGAATACCCCCCCCATCAAATATGATGTGTCTGGTTAAATTAACGAGGTTGATTGAAAATTATTTTTAGTTTAATTTTTTATAATATTAAATTTAGTATTAGTATGACAAAATTTATATATTTAAAAATTACACTAAAGATATTATTAAATATAAAAAATTAAATTTAAAAATAAGTAACAAATACTAAAGAAAATAGACAAAAAAAAAAATAACTTAACTAATGAGTAATAAGTATGACATGTAAAATGAGACAGATTCACTGATGACCTACCAACAAATCTAATAATTATTAATCATTGTAGCGTTTATATTTATTCAATTTTTACATTTTTTTTTATCATCAAGATCGCTTAGAACCCAACATCACTCTTAACCTAAGACACGGATCAATAACAATTGATTTAGCCATATGTAAATATGTAATGTGTGTGTTTATTTATTTATTTACATTTGTCATATATTGGGTCCAATAGCAAGTAGTATTAGGTTCGGATAAGTTTGGTATGATTGTAAAGTAGCAATTCTTTGTCCTTCGTATACATTTGATTGTGTTTCTTGCGATTTCTATTTATTTATGATATCACTTCAATTTGATATTAGTTTAGGTAATGATCTCTTATCCTTAGTTACGTTTCATATCGCATCAGTTTAGTATCAACCTAGGTGTATAATAATAATAATAATAATAATAATAATAATAATAATAATAATAATAATAATAATAATTATTATTATTATTATTATTATTATCTAGACAACACAGTTACTAACATATTATCTCAGTGGAGACATTAACTCTTTGTCCTTCAATAATTTAAAAAAGTATATATGAACATATATTACATTGAGTCAATAGTACTAAAAAAAACATATTATCGGTATAATATTAACAAAAAATCATTATTTTATATCTCATTTCTTTACGTATCTTGGACAAATTAATTACTAATTCATAACTTACATAATAGTTCAAAATTATAATTCTACCCCAAACAGGATGACTGAGTGGGTAGAATATAATTCACATACAAGAAAGTCATGAATCTGATTCTTGTCAACACTCTTTTAGTCGAACTGATCTCACAAAGTTTATCCAATGTACACATACTCTTGAGTGCTAATTTTGTAGTTCTCTCATTAAAAAAAAAAAAAAAAAAAATCTGTTGTATGTTGATTTCTTAAAATTTTGAAGGAAAAAAATTACTAGTAATACTATTGGCTTTCAACAACTACAACAATAAATAAGATTAGGAAGGTCGCAATCAGATAAAACCCAAAAAAAAAAAAGAAAAAAAAAAAGAGGAAGAACTCTAGAAACATTATCAATGAACTTAGCATTTGGGAGGATGTAAAATATACCCTTTAAATTACAGTGAGTTAATGACTTAGCAGTGCACAAGAGATCTGTCCACTTTGAACATAATTCATATACTGCCACTATCAAAATTTGAACATTGATTTCTTTTTTTAAATACTGCAAATTATACCAGTGAATTAAACCTGTGTAAGCTTGACCCCTTATTCCAGCACAATGATAACTTGTATAAACCATTAAAAACTCTAACATAATACTAGTAGCTACACCAACCTTGCACCACAAATTACATGCCTTTTTTTCACTTCTTAATGAGATAATGAAAAAAAAAAAAAAAAAAAAAAAAAAACTCTAAAGACATTGGTCGAATGGATAAGAAATTTTACTCAAGACTTATTTTTGATGACATGGAGGATTTTCAATTCCTACCATGAATATTGATGGTCTAAATTGGACAGTTATGTCATGGACTCGGGTCCACCTTCCAACTTACAAGGTGGACCATGGTTAAAATGCACAATTTATATACTGAATGTTCACAATTTATCAGTATGTAAATTGTGAACATTTAATATATAAAAATTGTGAATATTCAGTATATAAATTATATATTTTTGGATTTAAAGTGGACCTGGGTCCACAAAATAACTTACCGTCTAAATTTAGGTTCAACTCTTTAGCTGGGTTAAGGTCTGTAGCGCAAATTATATCGTGCACCGCAGTGCATGATCGATCATGCACGGCGCATCAAAACGACGTCGTTTTATTTAATGAAAAGAAACAGAATCTTCGCAAAAAATAACTTTGTTCTTCAGTTTCATTTTGTAAACACTACAATTTCAGTTCAACACAATTACAAATTCATTTCGATATAACTATAGTTTCATTCAATATTTATACACTCAAATATGTGAAAATGTTATTTAATTTTATTTTATATACACTATAGTTTCATTAAAACACAACTACGTGATCATTTCGATATAATTACAGCTTCATTGTACAATATACATTCAAATATGTGAAATGTTATTAAGTTTCATTTTATATATACTGTAGTTTCATTTCACCACAACTACAGTATCATTTCGATATAACTACAGTTTCATTTGATAATATAAAAATAATACGTGGGACAGTGTCAGTTTAGACACACTGTAGTATCACTCTGTTATAACTGTAGAAACGACATCGTTTTGACGCGCGGTGTATAATTGATTATGCACTGCAGTGGACGATATAACGACTTAGTCCGGAGACGAGTTTATAGAGTCAAAATGGCTGAGGTTAGTTTCTCCCTATATCAATTCAAAATGACAAAGCCCCATCATTTTACTAAGGATTATATTTTTGTAATGACCCAACAATTAATGCATTTTGGGCCCAAAAGTAACCTTTTGACACGTTCAATTCTTAAACATTCGAGATCAATGCTCCCTGTCTTAATGCAATGTAATATAGACGTGCGCAGGTGACACAAGGCCCACAATAACGATGAGAGGGGACTTTTTCTATGGCTACAAACTAAGGTAGTAGTCAGTATATACATAATTACATTAAAAAAAAATGTATTCAACCTTTTGTTTTTTCAATGAGTTTTGTGTGTTATTTTTTAAATAAATATTTACTTTTGATAGTTTAAGTATGTTGCCATTTTTTAAAATCATTCTCCAAATCGTTTGATTGCAACCTTATTACGACTTTCGTGACATATCATTTTTATTAGTTCTTGATGGAGTAAATTAGACAAAGTATGGGTCCAAAGTTATGCTATGAAGTGAATATATAATTGGAGATGAGAATGTATTGATTGAAAGAACAAAAGATGATTGTTAACTTGATCAGTTTAGGAAGTTAGAGTAGCTTAATGGCTTCGATCAGTCTTACTTGTATTAGTACAAGTAATAGTGTGAAGTATATTTGTATCGTGTCGCTCTGATAGTAAAGGAGCAAATTAGACTTGGTGGACCACAAGGGCCAGTTAAGCACCCCACCCCCACATTCACACACATATTTAGAAAAACGTATTAGTAATTAGTACATTGTATACCTGATTTGCAATATATGTATTAATATCAACTCTTGAATGTCCCACTACCAAAAAAATTAACTCTTGAATGCGATTGAATTTTTAAACTTTCAATTAATTTTGTATAAATTATTTATTTATTTAAAATTATTATTGAATTTACAAATTATATTAATTTCTATTTAAGTTACATCTAAACTATTTTTGTATACAATTATTAGATTTTAAAATTAATTTTAAATTAAAAGAATAAGAGATGATCAGTAACTAGGTGAGTCCGAAAGTCGGAGTAGCTCAATGATTTCAATTAGCCTATAGCACTTATGTTAGTATAAGTAATAGTAAGAAGTAGAAGATTATATATATATATATATATATATATATATATAACTTATTTAGTAATTTATTTTGATCTCTAGAAATAGTGTAATATTAATTAATGTCAAAAGTATAAATTGTGTTAATTGGGAAAGTAATCCGTTAAATTGCCCAAAAACATTCTAGATCCGCGCCCGTGAATAGAACACGCGTTTACTATACGGTGTCGTTCCGGACACGCATAGTGTAAAAACTCTCTTTCCCAGCAGCTACCTCTACACCCTAACCGCCCCACCCTCTTTTAAAAGAAAAGACGCAACACGTGCACGACCCGCATTCCCAGGACATGTGCGATTAAATAATTAATTATATTTTCAAAATGGCATTTCCGTAATTTCCTCCCCCTTTAGTGGCAATTCTTCTCCACCTTAAATATATACACTGCTAACTGCTTCACCTCCTTTAATGACTTTTATTTAGCTGCCGGTCGGTCCAGGTGTCTTCGTCGTCGTCGACTTGCTATTTTATTCGGTTAGGAACCCCGCCGGCCGGTCTCGTCGGAGAAGAGGAACGGACGGCGCCGCGAGATGACGTCGGGGACAAGGCTGCCGACGTGGAAGGAGAGGGAGAACAACAAGCGGAGGGAGCGGCGGAGGAGGGCGATCGCCGCTAAGATCTTCGCCGGACTCCGAATGTACGGCAACTACAAGCTCCCCAAGCACTGCGACAACAACGAGGTGCTCAAAGCGCTGTGTAAGGAAGCTGGATGGATCGTCGAAGAAGACGGAACTACTTACAGAAAGGTAAGTGATATCAGTATATGGAGACAAATATTTTTATTCGTTCAGGTGATGAAAATTGTGCAGGTCTGGTTATTGTTGGGCGTAAGTTAGCTGGGATAACTTGCGCCGGTGGTTTAGATCTGTGTGATCTATGCGGAGTAGGATTTCATTCATAGGCCTAGAGGAGTAGAGGTGGAGTAGAGGTATCTATGTTTTATGTCTAGCGAAGAGAGTCTGATGCCTGCCTATGGATGCTAAAGTGCGCTTTATTGGGAGTGCATGTTAGCTCGGTCGGTGAGGAATCGCGGCGACGAGGTGTTGATTTGGTCTTGTGTACTGTGTACTCGTTGAATTTTCCGGTTCACTGTGATGTTAAAATGCGCGGTTTGTAGTTCCGGCGCGTGTTGATCAGGTCAGTAGGAGTGTCACTGTGTTCATTAATCGAGGGAACATTGTTTAATCACAGCTTCTCCAGTTCAATCACAGCTCGAGGATCTTTTTCACATAATGACGGATGGTTGAGATTGTCTGGTTCCTGTGCACCAGGCGCACGATAGATCGCTTTTAGGCGGATGAATTTTCATTTCCATTTTAGTTTTCCGCACGAACATCAATGGATTCCCCTGTCTCGTATTATTCGCTCTGTAAATTGACACTCCGTATTTTTACCTCTGGACGTTTCACCTTTTAACCATGCACCCCTTAAAAGACGAAAATGACCCTCTGCTCTCCCTCCTTAATCTTCGACTATTTGGCCGTTGGAGAGATCCAATCTGTTCAGATGGTGGACAGTATGGTCTTTTTAGCTGTCCTGAATTCTCTCCCGGGGTAGAAATTTTTACCGTTCTCTGATTGCTCAGAGCTCGGTACAGGTGACTTCTCTGACTTCTGGGCCTGTCCGTACTTGCTAGAATAGGTAGACGATGACCTTGTCAAGCTACAGTAAATGAGTAGTAGAAACTAGAAAATTCCATGGAGGGCCAATTTGGGTATTTGCAGTTAGGAATATAGGTAGTGTGAATTCCGACTTTTCCCCCGTCCAAAAGTCTGGGTGTAATGGTGCTCCTTTTTGCATCTGAACTCAAGTGTTGGATTTAATGGGATTTGCGGTGGAGTATCCTTAGTCAATTTGTGGGCCTTTGCTGTTCTTGAATTGTGGGGGTTGATATAATAAACATATTGTTACTTGTTGTCATAAAGTTGATAATGCATGATTAAGATATGAGGGAAAGCAGATAGCAAATCTTTGGATTCCGTTTGATTATTATTACAAGTAATGCTTATTAGTTGAGGCTGTAGAGCGTGTGAACATATTATTGTTTAGATTGGGTGAGGGTAAAGCTGTAGATGAGGTAGCGTGTATAATCATAGAGTTGACATTATTATGAGGTATGCATATCCTTTTTTCAAAGGCTGTTGGGATGGCAGGGTAACACATATTGCTCATGTTGATAGTGATATGGTGGTGGTGTGCTTTATTAGTATTCTTTTTTCTTCTGGGCTCTGCATATCTGGGCTGTGTCCAGTTTGTGAGCATATTGAGCTCTTTTTCATTATTATATTGCAACAGTGGTGGTTGGGGAGGAATCATAATAGGATTGAACATAAATGGAAAAAGCTACTTTTTTGGATAATCCCACTTCATCTGTTTTCTAAATTAGTCCTAGTTCAGACCCCCTTCAAGGCTGAGTTGTTTTAGTACCTCTATGGATAAAATCAGTGGGAATTTCAGTCGGTCACACTTGTCTTTTGACAAGATGGCTGCAATGTAAAATTTTCAAATTTTTATTTTTATTTTTATTTGGTTGATGGATAAGTGGATAAGAGCTATAAAGGGAAATGAAAAAAAAATGTGGGAAGGCAGTTAATTGAGGTAAAATTGTGTTATATTTTTAGGCCAATGCCCCAATTTACCATTTATGTTAATATATTATTTACTTTTTGACCATCATATTATATTATAGATTTTGATTTATCAAGTTGGTCGGACAGTTGACTTGATAACTACAAGAGTTCCGAGTTCAACTCTCCATGGGAGCTGTTTGTTGGGTTATCTTGGTTTGAGCCCTGGTCAGCTATGGGCAACCTAAGCTGCTTTATTTTCTCGTGATCCTTTGCTAGCTAGCTAGGGTCACAAGCCGGGTTTCACCTAGAGTGACAATTTTGATTCAACACTACCTTCTTATATTCATGGTCACACCTATTTTATCACGAATTAAAATAAAACCATGTAAATATACACAAATTTGTGTGGATGTAGCATTGTTCTTATATTAATTGGCCTTTTGCAGTAGCATCCCGTTTTAAAGAGCTATTAATTTTTTTTTATTTTTTTTTAAAGGTATATACAGCTGATTCTTGCAAGATTTCATAACATAATGATCATGATTGTATGATAGAAGTAAATTTAGAAATTGCAGTGGATTTGCATGATCCTTAGAGGAAGTAACTCATGAAATCTAATTACAGATTTACAGACTTCCCTATCTTTTCTAAATGTGTTGATCATCTCATCTTTTCTACAGGGATGCAAGCCTACAGAACGCATGGATATTATGGGCAGTTCAGTATCAGTGAGCCCTTGCTCATCATACCAGCCTAGTCAAGGTCCATCCTATAATCCAAGCCCTGCATCATCCTCCTTTCCTAGCCCAGTTTCATCCCGCTACATTACCAATAACAACAATGACACTGATCCCAACTCTCTTATTCCCTGGCTTAAAAATCTTTCTTCCGGTTCATCACCTTCTTCATCCAAGTTACCCCATCATCTGTACATCCCTGGGGGTTCTATTAGTGCTCCAGTCACTCCACCTTTGAGCTCACCTACCGCCCGCACACCAAGAATGAATGATAATTGGGATGACCCCAAGGTCAATTCAGCATGGCCAAATCAACATTATGCTTTCCTCCCATCTTCTACCCCACAAAGCCCTGGCTGTCTAACCCCACCTGATTCCGGGTGGCTTTCCGGTGTACAAACCCCACAAGATGGACCTTCATCCCCAACATTTAGCCTTGTCTCACCAAACCCATTTGGCTTTAAGGAGCCACTATCAAATGGTGGATCACGAATGTGGACCCCAGGGCAGAGTGGAACATGCTCGCCCGCAGTTGCAGCAGCTCTTGACCGTTCAGCTGATGTACCCATGTCAGATGCAATTCAAGCTGAGTTTGCGTTTGGCAGCAACGCTATGGGTATAGTTAAGCCATGGGAAGGAGAACGAATTCATGAAGAATGTATCACTGATGATCTCGAGCTAACTCTTGGGAACTCCAACACTCGGTAAGTTATAGTGCAAGACTGCAAGCTATTTGTGGCTCACTAGAGCATTTCCACTTATCATTCGAACAAAATAGTAAAGTACACCCACCATCCCTTAAAAATGCAGCATTATTCTATTGTGATAATTAATTTTTAAAATCTGGTTTGTTGCAGATAAGGTGTTGAAGGCAGAGTAAAAATACAGAGTAGGAGCATTTCTTTGTTTGTTAATTTTTTTTTTGTCTTTTTTCTTCTTCTTTTCCAAAAGAAAACCGTAGATTGAACTATGAATTGCTCATTTGATGGCTTTATCCTAAACTCCTGTTTGTTGGGAGTATCCATTTTCTTCTTGTAATTTTTTTTCTTCAAATTCTTTTTTCTTCTTCCTTTCCCTTGAAGGTGAGGAAGTGACTTTTATGTAGTTCCCCGTTTTGTAAGTATTTGATGAAATTGCTGATTTGGGATATCATACATGAGCTGTTTTAAACAACATTCACAAGCAGAAAATATATCATTTAATCATTCAAATTCTTCTTTTTTTCCTCAAATTATTGACATTCAATTTATCAGTGAAGACTCGTTGGAGTCATTCCTGCAAATTCTGCACTGCACACAATATAGAGTATTTGAGTCAAGGGAGGCTATTTACAATTTTACATTCAACTAAAGAATTGCTATACAGTTGAAATCAACACAACTATTTACATATCCTTAAAGGAATGGGAATCAGCAGCACTCCTCAAAGCTTCTGGTATAACTCTGCCAGTGCGCGGTAAAGGGTGGCTGCAGCAGGTGGTCTCGGCCATGAGCCAAGAAGAATGTCGGCGGCACTTACTGACTGGCTGCCATAGAATCTTGAGTTTTCTCGGGACCGAGTTGTCACCACACTCCCTTCTAGAGAAACTCCGACAAAGGCACCTGCATAGCAGATCGATACAAATCATACAATAACGAATATGTTTTAAGATCAGGCAAAAACAAATGTTTATCAGCAATCAGTAAACAATAGTTATAATACACGTACCTTTACTGCAGCTATATGTATAGCAAGCAGAATAGCCTCCAGTACCAGCACGTACACCCGCTTCAGCAGTTCGTCCAATGACTCCTGCAGCTGCACTCGCGCCTGCTCCAATTGAAATATGTGCCTCACTGCTAAATGTCTTCACAGCATCATTACTTCGCAGAACAATTATGAAGTCAGTCAGCTCTCCTCCAGCCTGCAGAATGCATATTGAAAAAAAAAAAATCATATCATTACAAGGGCAAAATTGGAACACACACAGAGAGTACTTGAGTGAAACTTTGCAGTGATTGGACCAGACACCAGATATTGTGTTAAAGCTTACAAAAAATAACTGTTAAACGAAAGTATTCCAAACTAGAGGATTGAATGTTGAAAAAACCCAACATCAGCATGAAAATTTGGCAGCAAGCATACGCTATAAATAAAATTCTAATAATTCTATTGGAGCAATGAATCACAGCAAAAGCATGACTTGTTACTTCACCTGAGCACCCCATCCCACACCGAAAGAAGAAATGGCTGAGGGGGGAGACCACGAGCCATCTTCCCTCCGAGCAACTACCAGTCCAGTTCCAATGTTGTACGTAACCATAACTCCAACTTTCACTACTGTGAGTATTGCAAGGCCATGAGCACCACGAAGAATAGCTTCTGGAATTCTCTTCTCATGCCCCAAAGAACCAACCTGAAACTCCAAACAATCAGAGTGGTTCACATATTACCAACAGATTAATTTAATCAGGAAGATCCCCAATCTTGTGAACCGGTAAATTGATGTCTGAAAGCAATATGTATCAAGAATTTTCAAACACGTGAGACTAAAGTTCATATCAAGTTGTTTTAAAATGTAAGAGGAACCTACAAGATTAACCATGTGAGAGGTAGCTGGAATTCAAATTCAATTAACTGATTAGAAATTATATTATCGAGTTAGAACAGTCACTGTATAGTTTGTTTTACATGATTAGTAGTGGGAAGACCTAGAATATGCAATTTATGCACAAGAAAGCCATATTCATACCATATTATAGCTCCGAATTGTGTTGGTAGCCTTGTAAATTTCATACTCCATTGACTGTCCCCATGGGAAATTTATCCAGGACCTTAGTGTGCTGAGATCTGTCAAATCATGGGTTGGCAACTGTGCAGCACGGCTTACTTGATCCATTAAGTATGCCTGGACTGACTGAAGACGTACAGAGCATACATCACACACTCGCTGTGGTTGTTCTGTGCGAAACTTCTCAGGCAATAGGCTCCTTCCTCTAGTACAGTCACCACAAAATATTCCTCCACAAAAGCGACAGTGATGCCTGCTGCACATGATAGGGTGAAACCGAACACTACACAGCATACAGGAAGAAGCTGCACTATCAGGCAGCCATTTGGGTGGCTCTGCCTCAAGAAGTTCTCGAGTAGTACCAAAATTAGCCTCTGTGAGAGTTTGAGCCATCTCTTTCCAAGCCTGCTCCACGAGGTGGCCGGATATCCATGAAATATTGCAAATATCACCTGAGGTTAAAGTACTGACTTTCCCCCTTGCCACCAACAACATTTCCACCACTACATCCCACATGGTTAACTCTTTATCTTCCCCGAAGCACTCAATGCTACCCATATCTTCTTCAGGAAAGTATTCCTCTTTTGAGAAGAAACCTCTAGTCCACTCTTCATGGTCACTTTCTGACAAGGGAGGAACAGAAACAGGTATCCAAATCCCAGTTTCGCCATAAAGTGGTGCATCATAAGAGAAGTACTTGCATTGCTTTTGAGGAGATTTATTTGGATTATCTTCTATTGTGCTTTGATATGATTCTGTATAAGAATCTCTCGCTCTGTCTATCTGCTGATCAACAGAGAAGTTATCCTCATAGTTTTCCTTGCATGTTCCCTGAGGTAAATTGGCTTCACATTCTCCATTCTCAGTTTTAGCTACTGAGGGGTCTCCATTCTCATGACTCTTCTTCTCTGAGCTAGGAGGTAGCTCTATCCCAGAAGCTGTAGACTCAGCCAGGTGATGGCACAAAAAAGTTCCATTTTGATTCAAATGTTCAGAAGCGTATTCTTCAGTTTTAAGCCCTTGGCCAATGTCACCCTTCCTTTCATATTTCTCCGTAAAGCTGTATTGAGATGACGCAACCCCACTCTCTTCGGACTCGTGTTTTTCACTCTTAAGACAATAATTTTTGTCACACTCTTCAGTGTCCTGAAGAGATATTTTAGAAACAAAGTCCTCAGTTTTGACAATTTCTTGACTCACAGAGCTTTCACTCTCAGGATTCTCTAGCCTTCTATGTTGAGTTCGATATTCTTCGTGCATATCCATTTGTCAGATTATGGAACCAAAACTGGATTCAATACCACAAAAGCCTAACTCCTTTTGCGCTTCACGTCTCCAGGAATCCTATAACCAGTAGCAACATAATGCATAGGGGCTTTCTCAATCAACTGTTTCAATATAGATTTGAATATTCTACTTTTTTACACCAAACATATTCAAATATTTTAATTCAAAGCAAAAGAATTCACCACTTAAAAAAACCATGTTGATACAGTAAAACCAAGTTAATGCAGTAACAAAATATCAGCGAGCAAGTAAACATGGTCATATCTTAACCTTCCTCCATACAAATAATTCAACAAATTCAATCTTCATCCACCCAACTCCACAGCAAAATGAATGAAGGGAGGGAAAAACTTACTATTCTTTATTTCATTTCTCTTTTCCAATCAAATAGTCACTCAACACAATTGCAATTGAATTTTTTTTTTCCCTGTAAGAAACTACCTCCGAATAAGGGAAAAAATAACAATCAGGCATTATATTCATATAATAACCCTAAAGTACAATGCATAAATCAGTAATACCTAAACCCTAGTTATCCACTAGGTTCAGCTGCAAACCAAGTATGCACGCTTTGCCTGATAACCTGGATAATCTAACCACAAAATATGCAGCAATTATCACCTCAAAACAAGGCAAATTCAACTAAATACAGCTTCTAAGTTCTATAAAACCAAAATCAGTCCAAAATACAAAAGTCTCATGATTAAATACAAAAACCTCCCAATTCAAAATCAAATATGAATACAGAAGAGCGAAACATTTAAGAAAGATTACCAGTTGTCGGGAGCTTTTGAACCCTAGAGTTACAATTCGGAGCCCCGATTCGGCCTCGTCCTTCAGCAATGAAATTTAAGATAAGTTTTTTCCTATAATTTTCTAAAAGATTTTGATTTTGGTGGACCAAATCCGATCGTTGCGGGAGACAGATGGTAGAATGATCGGTGCCAATAAAGTAATACTCCCGATGAAATTCTTTGGAGGATTATGATGATGCCATAAATTGGTTCGCACAAAACAAGGGTGTTTGAGTAATTATTGGTTCATGTTTGCCTTCGCTTGCGTTTCGGGGCGTTTAATGTACAAAAATGTTTTTTTTTTTTTTTTTTTTTAAATCTTTAAAAAAGTTATACCATGGATCAAGGTCCACTTTGCAAGGTGGACTCGAATTCAAAATTTACAATTTATATATTGGATGTTCGCAATTTATATATACAATTGACATATTTATTGTTCACAATTTACTTTTTACAAAATTGTGAACATTTAGTATGTAAATTGTAAATATTCAATAAGTAAATTGTGCAATTTACATTTAACAAAATTGGGAACATTCAATTCAATATCTAAATTGTGAATTTTGAACATGGATTCACCTTGCAATATGGATCTGGATCTACAGAACAATACCTATCCTGGTCCATTTTATGTGTCTTGATAGTCTAACTCAGTTAACACTTAACAAGACTAGATTAAAGTTATTTATAATATAAAATTTAATATTAATATATAAAAAAAATTATACATTTAAAAACTACATTAAAGTATTATTAAACACAAAAAAGATTAAATTTAAAATTAATAAAAAATACCAAAGAAAAGAACCAATAACTTAAAAGTGCAATTAAATCACTGAAAAAAAAAATAATTAAGCTACCTAACATCTCAAATATATACAATTTCACGTGATTGGACCTAGCCTCCATAGGGCCTGCCAATGTTTTTGTGTTGGACTGATTGGGCTAGGTCCAATTACAAAACATAAGTACATTTGAAATTTAAACAAAGAACATAATGGGCCGACCCTTATGGGCACCCCAAAATGATGGGCCTATCCTTGTAATTCGGCCCGTAATAGCACCTAGGGCAAATTATATTATGCACCGCGCGTTTTTTTTTTAAATGAAAATTAACAGTGTTTATTTTCGTCGTTTTGCACCCTTTTGCAAAAAGTAACTCTGTTATTCAGTGTCATTTTGTATGCACTGCAGTTTCAGTTGAACACAACTACAGTTTCATTTCGATATTTATAGACTCAAATATGTGAAAATGTTATTTAATTTTATTTTATATACACTATAGTTTTATTAAAACACAACTACATGATCATTTTGATATAATTACAGCTTCATTGTACAATATACACTCAAATCTGTGAAATGTTATTCAGTTTCAGTTTATATACACTGCAGTTTCATTTCACTATAACTACAGTATCATTTTGATATAACTGCAGTGTCGGTTTGGATATACTGTAGTGTCAGTTGGTGTTTAATACACCAAACAAACGGACTCCATTAACTCTAACGGCGGGCCGTTTCTTTACTTAAAGAAACGGCGCCGTATATGGGCCGCGGTGCATAATCGATTATGCACCGCGGTCTATAATATAACAACTGAGCACCTAGTATCGTACCAGTCGTTATATCGTGCACCGCAGTGCAGGTGCATAATCGATTATGCACCGCGCGTCAAAACGGCGTCGTTTCTGTAGTTATAACGAAGTGACACTACAGTGTGTCTAAACCAACACTGTCTTACGTATTATTTTTATATTATCAAATGAAACTGCAGTTATTTCAAAATGATACTGTAGTTGTGGTGAAATGAAACTACAGTATATATAAAATGAAACTAAATAACATTTCACATATTTGAGTGTATATTGTACAATGAAGCTGTAATTATATTGAAATAATCATGTAGTTGTGTCTTAATGAAACTATAGTGTATATAAAATAAAATTAAATAACATTTTCACATATTTGTGTGTATAAATATTGAATGAAACTGTAGTTATATCGAAATGAAACTGTAGTTGTGTTGAACTGAAACTGTAGCTGTGTTAAACTGAAACTGCAGTGTATACAAAATGAAACTGAAGAACAGAGTTATTTTTTGCGAAGATTCTATTTCTTTTATTAAATAAAACGACATCGTTTTGATGCACGGTGCATAATCGATTATGCACCGCGGTGCACGATATAATTTGCCTTACGGACTACGGAGAAACAATGAAAGAAATTGTCATTCCACGTTTAAATAATGGCATATTTAGTTCCATCTAACAACACAAAAAACATTGAAAAGACTTTCTACTTAGTGCAATAGTGCACCCACCTTCTTGACCAATCCCTATTTTAGAATTATAGATAGATAGATGGGGCTCACCACTAAAGAGGCTTATAGCATCATTCAAATAAATCATACACCATTCATCTCATCAATTTATGTGTAAAATTCATTTAACAGGATTAAAATGACAAATTATTAACACTTTTTTTAGATGACGAGAGAAATTCACAGTTACTATTCAAAGATATATACTAGGTAAATCTCACTCACGTGTAATAGCTCACATACGATATAAAAATGATAAATCACACTAGAAATATCATGTACAACGAGACTTAATCAAGATAGTATGAACAAAAATCGAATGATTTTTAATAATTCTTAATACCTAGAGTACAAATATCTATCTACACCCTTGAAAGTGGTTTATATTGTGCTATATAATCATAATTATAATTTATCACAATTTTTTTTCAATATTATAATATATTATAACAAAAGTTTTACGTTTACGTAATGTATTATTAGCAAATTAAAAAATTAATTAAAATTCTACTCTATTAAACACAAAAGTCAAAAAAACACATCAAACTCAAAAATTAGAAGGATATGTTAAAAAATATGCATGTGGGTGAAGAACAGCTATTAAGCTTTGAAAAAGTAAATATTATAAATAAAATGAGGTGGAGATAATAGAAGAGAATTTGGATTCAAAGTACTTTTTAGTATAAAAATATACTATTTTTTCAACTAAAAAATTCGTCCATGTGGCACTATTTATGTCTTTAAAAAAAACACTCTATTACTATTAACTAATTAATTAAAAACGAAGTATACCCCAAAAAAATTAATTAAAAACACGAGTTAATTATAAGAATGAATTAATACCCATTTTGGTCCCTCGATTATTGAATATTGTTTAATTTAGTCTTTGACTTTAAAATTACTCAATTTGATCCTCTGACTGGTAAAATCACACTCAATTTGGTTATCTGTTACAAAGTCCATCCAAAAACTGTTAATTTGAAGTGCAAAATGGTCCATCCACTATTATTTATTTATTTATTTTACTTTAAAAGAAGTTTTTTGGTACATTTTACTTAGAGCTTCTCTTTGGATGTGGGTGAATTTAAGTTCATTTTCTTGTTGATAATGCACTAAAGTACTTCGTGCTTACTGCTTGCGACCATAGAACCCATAAGTAAAAGCTCTTCAATTCAATCCCCACCTCTTGATTAATCAATTGGCAAGCCTTTTCAAAGAGCATCTTTTTATTGCAAGGAGACCATGCAAGTAGTCCCCTGAGAAGAAGGTCAAATGATAGGAATCACTTTCTGAGTTTTTATCATTCTCAACGGATGACAAATTGGAAGTGCTAAATTGACTTGAGCTAGAGAATAGACTTCATGCTTATCATATGTTTATGAAAGCTTGATGTGCATAGAGTTGAAGTTGTAGAATGCAAAGAGTTCAATCAATTAAAATGAATTCAATTAAGGAAAACTAGGAATGGAAGTACTCATCTCTCCCGTGATGCTTCTAGTGTCTAAGAGAAAGGTTGATACATTGCAATTGAGTGATTCAAGTGAGACGACTTTACAAATGCCTTTAACCTCTTGATCTACTAGGTCTTTTCTTGGTATAGAAATACCTTTAAGTGACTATGATCCTAAGAAACATTTCATCGAACACCTTGTCTTCGCCTCATTCCAATCTTAGGCCTCTCGAAACTTTAAGAAAAGAAATACAAATTGGCTTGGGGCTCTAATTGATCTAGCAATCTCTTGCTTAGATCAATTGCTTAGAACAATCAAAGAAGTTTGGCAGGAACTCATAATTCACCAATTGTAACAAGAACTCAATCACAATTGCAATGCACAATCTAATTAGGAATTACATTTCACACTAGCATCATGCAATAGAATCACAATTCAATTCCTACAAGATATCTAGCCACTGAATCACTCATTGTAGCTTGATGAATCATCATAGAATCAAGGATCAATCAAACAAAGCAATTAAAGTAAGAAAGCAAAAGAATTACCAAACTTGATTCCAAATGAAGATTCAATTTACAATCCTCCTAAGATCAAGGAATTGTGTCAAGATCCTTTCCTTTAGAAGATCTTCATTCCAATATTCTTAAGAGGCTATAGAGAAAACCTAGAACTCTGCTAAGAACTAAACTCACTTGCTAACTTCTAAAGTATCTAAATCTAGCCTATATATAGCTTTTCCCTCTAAAATAATCTTCAAATCTCGCGTTGGGCTGCATCCACGAGCCGTCCACGAGCGTGCCACGCTCGTGGATCGCGCACTTAAGCCATCAGGCGCTCCTCTCCACGAGCGTGGATTCCACTCGTGGAACTCATTGTTCTCAAACCATGAATGCACCACGATCGTGGACTGCTTCGTGGACCCCACTATTTTCTATCCACGAGCATGCCACGGTCGTGGTCATGCCCTCTTGGGGTACTCCACTTTGCTCGCTTCTCCGGTTGCTCCGATTCATGCCCATATGCCTTCCTCTAAGCTCAATTCCCTTCACAAACACTAAAGTGCAGGATATGGTAGAGCTTTGCAACACATTAGCACATTCATGCATATTCAACCATAAATCAACCATAAAGGATTACAATTAAGCATCAAACATCCCTATTAAGACCCTAATAAATGAGTGTCTTTGACACTTATCACAAGTTTCCACACTTTAACTATTGCTTGTCCTCAAGCTAGTTCTCAATCAAATCAAGAATAAATAAGTCCCACAATAAATAACACATTAAGAAATAAATATTGGATGACACTTGTGTGAGACCGTCTTACGGATCGTTATCCATGAGTCGGGTCGGGTCGAGTTGAA